ATTATTATTATTATTATTATTATTATTATTATTATTATTATTATTATTATTATTATTATTATTATTATTATTATTATTATTATTATTATTATTATTATTATTATTGTTATTATTATTATTATTATAGTATCATAAATGTTTGATCTTGTCTCATTTGTTAACAGATTCTAAATTTCTAAATAAATTAGTAAAAAGAAAAATTTTCACGTTTTATTGATAGTTCAAGATATAGATCCATAGGTTCATAGTCTGAACTCAGTTTTAACTAAAAATTAAATAAAAATAATCTAAAAATTATTTAAAAATGGCTTAAAAACTACCAAATTAGTTGAGAAATTAAATTTAAGATATTTTTATCGATAAAAGTTTAAAATATGGATCCATAATCTTTATCTTCCATTGTCACAAATCAGGAAAGAGTTAAAAGTAATGATTTGCATAAAAGATTTTTTTTTTAATTGGGAGGAAATAATGCATCGTACAATTATATATAATAATAAATGTTGCATTACTTACATTAATTAGATAATTTATAATTTACATAAATAATATTTACATTTTTTTCTAAATTTTCTTGTTTGTTTACGTCTAAACATTTTTCGCAGATCTACAAAATTCGAAATCTTTTTCTGCAATTTAATCATTAATATTTTATTACATACGTTTTATCGCTGGTGTAACGTAACTCCACTCTTCCATGTAATCCCACTAGGACTTGAGGTACAGTAAACACTAATCGAATTGTATGTTCATCTAGTGCTTCCAATATTTGCATTGTAACTTCATTTGAAGAAGATGTGGCTGGGAACCCACCTATACCTCCAGATAGTGAAAAGCCTGGAGGTACAATATTATCCAAACCTATATTGGAATAAATATATTACTACGTTGTAATAATAAAAATTTTATCCATATTTAGCTCTTTTTATCTCTATTAAAGTTCAAAGATATATAAAACATATAATAATCATATGATAAGTCTTTTCAATAACAGTAATATACGCCAATATAAATCAGTTCCTTGGCCAATCTAATTAATAATAAATTTCTCAAAATTAGATATATTGCAATTTAATTTAGTAAATTTTTCAACAGAAAAATCGTTAGCAAATTTAAAACGTAAAAAGAACTGAAATACATTTGAGGAAAAATAAGAAATTGAATAATATTTTATAATTTATTTATATCTTTCAATTATTTTTTATATTTTAATATAAATTTTATACTATTGTTTACGAAAAACTATTTTTTTCTCTGCGTTATCTGATTTATTTTAAAAAATGGATTAATTTGTATAAAATTATTTTTTCAATACTCCTTAGTTTGAAACTAATTTCACTATTGAACTAATTTCACCATATGTTTTTATAAAATTTATAAAGTTGACTTTTATCACTCCTAAAGTTCACTTTTATCACTTATACATTCTATAATTTTTTCATGATCATAAGTAGATGTCTTTTATAATAAAAGTCTTCTGCAAAATTATATATCTTCTAAGGATATTAATGTTATATTTAATTATAATTAATTAAACGACATATTTTTTTATATAATTATACATGAAGAGCATATATATATATATATATATATATATATATATATATGGCATACATGACAATATGTTTTGTTAAAAAATAAAATAACTTTCCGTTATTGTTTTGTAAATTGCATGTTAAGGATACAATCAGATAATAAAATTTTATTCCTTGATTTTACTAATTGTGAGAGAATTTTAACAGAAGTGAATGATTTGAATTTTAGAATATAATTGCAATGATATTTAGTAATAGAGTTTTATAAATTGTGGAAACAATAAATTGGAAAAAATTATTTTATTTTTTAACAAGAAATATATTGATATTCATTTATCAAGTACGATTGTTAACGAAAATTCTGTATACTATTTTTTCTGATGATCAGGAACGAACCTGACTGATTGGGCGTTTGTGCTGCGAGCGGATGGTTCAAGTGCGTAAGTCCTGAATGTGGTATGTGAGCGTCTATATGAGATGGCAGAATTGGCAGCGGGCCGTTCAATATATTATGAGGTATAACTGGCTGTTCAGGATAATGTTGGAAAGGTCCAAGATTGGGATCATGTTCATTAATATGTGCTAATAATTCCTCGATTTGCTGTGGTGTATTTGGAATATCGGGCGTATGAATATGATAAGCAATCTGCCCATTTTCATTCTTTTGTGTAAAAATATGGGGTTTTGTCGTCTTCTTTGGTGCAGCAGATGGTAATCCGAAATAAGTGGATTGCATCCCATTATTAGATGATTGACCGGAAATCTGTTGATGAAGATCATATAGACTTGGATAACTTTGAGAAGAGGTATGGTCGGCTTGGATTAGGCCAGGATGTTGTGAATTTATCAGGTGATACAATTGTTCCGGCAGAATTTCATGATTGGGATTTTTCTGACCGTGTTTCTGTCGTTCAGGCAATGTCAGAGATGATTTTGATTTTTCTGCATCAAAAGGATTAGATGTAATCTTTTTTTTGAAATCACAGAAACTACATTCGGGTCTATTGATTCGGGTTTGGGAAGAATTAAATCCTGATGAGGAAGTCTAACCATTGAGTTATTATACTGATTATTGATCAAAGCATCAGGATGAGAATGTAATGGGACGAACTGAATTTGATCAGTTGGACGACCTTTTTGTGTAGGAATTACTTTGTTTAAACTTAATGAACCTTGTACATGTTGATTTTCATTAATGGGATATGGGGATGTCGAAACGGCCTTACTGTTAAGTTTATCAGGTGCTAACGGACCAGGGAAATATTGATCGTTCATTTCTTTATGAAGTTTTACCAGTTCTACGGGTTTTTTTGAGTCAGACTTTGATTTTGACTTTTCCTTTGAATTCGATGTCTGCTTGTCAGAGTGAACGGGTAGATGGAAGGTATCTTCTATATTAAGATGAGTCGATAGGAAATCAGGACTGTAAGGTCCATTATAAGGTACTGTGGGATGTCCTGGATCCATAGGATAATGAGGAAATCCGTGAGTAATAGTGTCCGTTTGTATTTTATCGATTTTCGGGTTTTCCGAGAAGGAAGAAGTACTGTGCTCCGATTCCTGGTTGGGCTTGAGCATTTCCGACTTGTTATTCGGTCTTTTGATATTGTCAATCGTTTGCTGATCGAACGTATGTGTGGCTAAAGGGCCGGGATACGCGGATGTCACGTTCATTCCTGCAATAAGTAAAGTCCATTGTCACAGAGATTGTCAGTGATCAGTGATCAGTCAAGGGTTTTCCGGAGTCCATGCATATTTACAGTGGGATCCAACTTAAACATTTCCAAGCTCAGCCATGGCTATATGAAGCATGCATTTACAGCTTTCAGTTATTGCATTTTCAATGTAAAGTATATACAAGGAAATAAAGGCACCTTAGAGAAGGAAGCCTTTTTTGCAGAGAAGTTTTCTGAGGATTGTCGGAATGGTAATTTTAAAGAGAAAGGAAACAGTGTTACAAGCGAGCGTAGATTCGCTCGTCGTCGTATAAACGAAAAAAATCACTCTCTGCCAACGCATTAAGAATAACTTAAAGTTAAGTCGCGCTATTTAGCGTGAGAAATTATCATCCTGTTTCGTTCTGTTTATTAAAATTTGTTCCTTTTCCTAACAATGTTTCTTTATTTCCGCGAATTACGCGAGTGACGTATGAGTGTTCGCCGGAAGTGCATATAATTTTCGAAAATGTTTGCAAGATTTTGTAGAATTTTCGATACGTCGTGTAACCACTCGTAAATATTGTTCAAACAGGAGAGGATTTCGTCGCCGATCATCGCCTTAAATTTTATAATTTTTGAATTAAAAAAATTTTTAACTGTCTTGAAGGACAACCATATCATACACCTGTACACCTCATTACTGAATTGAACGTAATTTATTGTTTTTTAGTATCTTTTATCTGGATTGATCAGCAAAAATTTCCTTTTCCTGAACAATCGCTAAGCAACATTATTATTTGCAGCTAGCCTTTTGACATTCAACTAAGGAATTGGTAAGTTCAACTAGAAGATCAGCTCTTGAATTTTTTTCCCTGATACTTTGTGCTTTTCATATTTATAATTTTTAATACATTTTTAAATTCATTCTGTTAAAATGAGTATAAGAGTATAAGAATGTCAAATAATTTTTCTTCGTTTCTTGAATTAATATATATAAATTCGACCTTGTCCGTTGATTAATGTAAATGTAAATTCAAGGCAAATGCTTATATCGCGAACCACGTATTGTTATAATTATTGAACTTGAATAGCTCAAACTATAACTAGATTTCTCCCCTTTTCAATAAATCGATTCCCTACTCATGATTATTGTTTATTGTTTATTTCATTTTATTTTTATTTTTCTTTCTCTTTCCCATTCTTTAACTCTTTACTTAACTTTACTTTATTGTCTGTTTTAATATACATACTTTCGTAAATTTATTTTATTTCTTATTTTTCTATTAATTGATTCGATTTCTTTATATTATTAAATTTGGATTTTCTCATGATATGTACGATTTTTCAATTTTTGTATTAGTTCGTATTTATCACTATTTTTCATTTCTCTTAATATATATTTAATTTAATTTATTTTAATATAGTCTAGTTATTAGTTTGTACCGTTTAATAACTTAATAGTCTAATTATTCATAGATTACTTCAATTTATCTATTTTTTTCTGTTTAACTTTCCTCTTACTTAGTTTCTACACTTAGAACTTTTTGTTATTTCTTCCGTTAACAAACATTTGCTTAAATCATATTTGTTGTTGCTTATATTATTTAACACTTTTGTGCTTCTTAAGTTAGATATTTAGTATTAATGTTAATTAATTTTTAAGTAATATATCATTTGTTGAACAATTTTTATACAAATTATGTGACTAATATCAACGCGAATATGTAATATTTAATAAATCATTAAAATCGTAACTTTTCTTCTCTAAACTAATAATGGATATTGAAATAAGAATTTTAGCATTAGTAACAGTACCCGTATTGCAAGTTTCGTATAGTGAAACATATTTGATGCTCATTTTTATATAATTATATTTTTCACAGATAGCTATAAGAAATTCAGATACATCTCGTCTATAACTGGAAAATTTGTCTCCTAATTCTCGTATCGCGTACGCATCAAATCAGCTATTCCATTTTCATATCGATAATTTATAAATATACCTAAGACATTTATCACAATGAAAGATCTGTTTTCTAATAGCATTTAAATGCAAAAGATATTGCAATATTGCATTTGCATGAAATGAATCTTCGTCTTTATTTTAGAAACCATGTATAACCCAAAACAGTATTTTCAAGTTTGTGTTTATGTATTCAAAGTTTTATTTTTAGCATTTGTTTAAAAAATATTGTTCAAAAACAAAATGGTATGTCGGTTTTGACAATTTTTCTCTATTATATAATATTTAATAAAAAAAAGTTTATAATTTAATTTTCTTAATTAATAAAATATATAATATCTCCCATCCCAAATACTCTACGTGCATTATTAAGAATTGAAAGAATCACTTAATTGCCTAAACTATTAGGGAATACATTGTTTCCACTTGAATTGTTATTTACCTGATAATGAAGAATAACTGCAGGTCCATTGCATGCAACATGGATTGGTAGGTACTTGTGTCAATGTTGCTTGATTAGAAGGACATGGTAAATTCGTAGGCGGCAACGCTGGTACAACTTTGCAAGCAGCCTGACAGGATATATTGCCCATCTCGCAATAACAACGTCTCTCGCAGCCAGTGACATTTGAAGGTAATTCGCTCCAATTGTCATACATGACTCCTTCATAATAACAAGATCCATTGTTTCTACAGCGTACCTCCTAAAAGTTGTTCATGCGATTGTTACAAAAATAGAATCTTATTGAGAAAAATAATCTTAAGTTTCTCTTAGAAAATAGTCCAGAATTATTATCCAGAAATGATTATTACATATATAATATCTATTAAAGTTATTATCTAATCAATTTTTAGAAAGTTATTAAATATCAATTTTTACAAACAAGAAATTACGTATATATCTGAATTTTCTTCTATTATTTTGAATTTTTTAAAGAATATTTTTGATTATGTACAAGATGTTCAGCGCAACAATTCGCAAGCTTTTTGGAATGTTTTCGATAGTCTAAAAGAAAGGTTGAATATTCATCTATTTCATGTAACCTACAACTTATGATAAGAAAATTAAAAGAAAATTTTTTTAATAAAAAATCAACGTCACTATAAATTTTTTAAATAGTACCTTAAATCTCAATAAATAATAAAAAAAGAGTACAAGGATATACATACTAATAAAATTTTAATTTCAAAAAGAAACTTTAATACTCATGATCATACCTGAGGGCAACATTGTGGTGCTTTTGGGACAAAATTTGCTGGGACTGTCTCCCAATCCAGGCAATGCGGATCCAACAAATCCAATCCAAAATCTGTGGGACACTCTATCGTGGCACATTCAGTTTTGCCATCTTCTGTGCAAGTGCAGAAGAAGATACATTCATCATACCATTCTGCACTAATCTTATATGATTTTCCTCTATAATTGCAGGTATTCTTATCAGATGTTTTCTCCGAAATATTTGTCTTTATTACTTCAGCTGGTAAGAACACTTGTATGGCTGGTCCTGTGCGACTTCCTTCTGCTACGCGAAAGTAGTATGTATGCGCAGGTTCCAAATTTGCAATTATACCATCTAAAAAATATATAACTTTGCCTTTTTTGTGTTTTATCCAGAAATCATAATTACAAACTTATTCAAATTTGATTCTGTTTTAATGAAATAATTTATATCTATATAAAAGTCTCAATCAAAATCCAAAATATCAAATTAAAGTCCAGTCTTTTATATTAAATCTTTCACATGATTTTTTTGTACAACGTAACGTGCATGTATTTAGCATTCTTTTTTATCTTTTTAAAGAAAGATAAATCTCGAGAAGAGAGTGACGTTCTGAGATCGATTCTAATTATCCGCATCTCATATTTCTTTAGCTTACATAACTTATGTGGCATTAACAATTTCTTTATTTTTGTAATTTTTTTACCTTTATCGGATTTCTGCTGTCTCCATATATGATTGTTCTGCGAGATCTCTATAATGACGTCTTGAGGATTCTTTGCGGATAATTTTAATTTGATTGCTGTTGAGTTTAGTACCTTTACGTCCATCAAATGCACACTCAAATCGGTAGAATTCTCCGGTTTAACTTCATAATCGCCCAAAGTAACATCGCAAAGTGTAATTGTACAGCAGGGATCTCTAAAGATCAATATTAGCTATTATTTTTTTATTATTTTTTATTTTAAATTATTTAATTTCGCAATTTAATTTATAACAGCAAATTGAGGGAATTAAGGGCCAAATTTGATGGAAACATATAATGATAAATAAATTAGTCACATATTTTAAGAACTTAGTTTTAAACTTTACTTAGTTTTCATCAGCATCAATAAAAAATTGAGAAAAAATTATAGAACATACAAAGTAGAAATAATAAAATATAACGTTCTAATTTATGATATATCACTATAAACAAAAAAATGAATGGATAACAATGATATGTAGATAATCTAATAACATTTTTAGATATTAATGTAAGTAATGTAAAAGTGTGTTGTAACAAAGGCAGAAAGGTTGTGTCAAAGATAAGCGGACAATAATAAATAAAAAAAGAACAAACTTCATACGATTTAACTCTCCACTTCGGATTAAAATAATATGATCCATAACTTAAAATTCTTTTTATAACCAACTCTTTGGTCGGAGGAGAGAATTACGTTAAGTCCAACAATGAATGTCATCCTTAGTAATTAACAGGAGTACAAGGCTATTGACATTTCACTAAACAAATAAATTCTTTCCTCGATTCTAGCCTATAATTTTCTTTTTTATTTAATTCATAATAATTAATTTTATATCTTTCTAAAAAATCATACCTGGGATCGGGTAATGCAACGCAGCGATCATGTTGATTGGCTATAGAGATGGTTTCATTCGGTGGACACCTGGGATGACATTTCAAATGACCACCAGCTTCGCAGATACACATCCTGGAACAGCCGTCTTCAATATTTTGTCCTCTAGTCACTGTCTTGTTGTCCGAGCACACATGTCTCATCTGGTTCAATAGCTGTATTAATATGTATAAATATATATATATATATATATATATAAATATATATAATATGAAAAAATATATATATATTTAATATAAAAAAAAATAATATATATATATATACTATATATTTTTTTTATATTTATTATACAAATAGATCCTTAATAAGAAAATAAATTATTTATTGTTTATAAATCATATGTAGAATAGAGTTTCAAAGAATAACAACCGATTTCTTTGTTCTATCTGTGACAACAGATAGTATGCCGATCTAAGAATTAATTAGCATCAATGAATAAATTAATGAAATATCTAGAGCAATAAGAAAAGTCAAGAAATTTAATGCAAGAATGTGGTTTTGTAAATTTATAAATTGCAAGATCCTTTCGTACATTTATATTTGAAATGGACGAACATGAAAAAACAGATATATAAATCATCGACTTACATATTCGTTAGTAACTGAAAATTTCAATTCTGTAAACATAAAAAGATATATACCTGAATCCGGACAGACAATACGGGCGCAACATGGTTCTTCTGTAATTAGTTCTTCATGACACAAAGGATCCTTAAATTCTTTGCTTGTTCTAACATAAGGAGAAACACATAATGGTTGACAATCTGTAATTCCACTTTCAGTACATATGCATTTCCTCTCGCAGTCTTCGACAATTTTTTCACCCACCGAATAAGTGCGATTTCTATAGATGCATGATGTTTTCGGAAATAATGTCGAGGTAATATTTATGGCAGTTCCATTACGTGGCGCGATATATTCTCCGCCTGGCGATAATGGATAATGGATAATGGATTATTTCTATTAGTTTTTAATTTTCTTGCAAATTCATGAAGGTACTGTCCATTTTTGAAAATAACTTCTGGACTGTCTCTTACAAAAATAGCAACAAAAATAGAATACAATTTTGGAATTAGCAAGTTTTAAATATGTACACGTACAATCAAACATTACATTTTTGATTAATTCTTTTGAATT